ATCTTGAAAAAACTAAATTTTATAATAATATACTTTAAAACAAAAGAAAATCTAAATAAAGCATATAAATAATGTAAATTTTTATAAGAATTTAGATTGGTTTTTTTTTTTTAATACTCGTGATTAAGTTAGTATAGTGTAATTATTAATTATAAATAACAAAACCACTTACAGTATATTGGATAAATATATAATGGCTAAACTAAATCTTATTCTGACTCACTTATTAATAGCTTTCAATTCTCAAATAAGCTTTAGCCTTTAAGTGTAATCTTGAAAACAATATTTTATTCTGGGATAAGTTTTGAATAAAGATCCTTTCAATTTATCTATTATTGTCAGCAAGTTATCACTGCTGATTATTCTTCAAGGAACTAATTTTTGAAAACTACAATAGAGGAAAAGAGAAAATAAAAGGAAAGGATACAATTGTATTTACATGAAGAGAAAAATAAAAAATAAAAATAAAACTGCTCCATATTCTCCAAAGAACCTTTATTAAAAATCTTCTTTCATTAGAAGTCAATCCTTCTGAAATATTCTTCTTTTTTCTTATCATCTGAAGAACTTATTTATTCATGATCTTAATTATTTTCTTGTGACTATCTAAGATACTTATCACCTACTTGAATCCAGCTTCTTGCTTGACACTTCCTTTCTTTAGATATTGATTTTTTATCTATTTATATAGACCTTAATGACTTATAGTAAATCTCAGATTCTTATGTAACCTTTTAGTCATTTTATATAATTATTGATATCTTCCAGCAGCTATGCCTAGTTAAAAGAATTTTACTGATGTATATATTTTATTGTTCAAAAAATCATTTTTCAAGAATTTTTTTGCTTTATAATAGTAGGAGAGTTTCAGAAAAGTGATAGGAATTCTTATCGATTATGATATTATTACACAATGTTTAGGAAAATATATTCACAATCCTAGAGAAGGGCAGTAACTCACATTCTTTTGTTTTTCAGTCTTATTGCCTGATTAGGATAAGGAAATAACTTCCTTTGTGTATTTAGCTTAACTGGGATAATAAGAAATTAAAGATCTCAATTTAAACAAATAATTAGCTTTTCACTACCTAGGAAATTTAGTGTCCATCCTAATGGTCTTATGATCTCTTTATTTTGGCTACACTTCATTTGAAGGAGTAAAAGATTTTACATCAATTGATTCTCTTTCATTTTATCAATAATGTCATCAAACCACATAAGTATGACCAATAGAACCTTTTTTATATATTGCTATCAACATGTTTTGTGTTAGCCAATCAGAAACCAGATGTTGTTGTATTATCAAAAATTCGGGATCAAGCTGAAGTAGATAAAATTCTTTAAAAAAACCATGAAAAAACTATAGATACTCTAAGAGGATAAGAAACAATATGTAAAAAGATTGATAATAAGTCTTTACCTATTCAGAAAACCTCTATTTTTATGTTATATCCAGCTTTGAAAGATAACACTCTACAAGTTGTTCTTTTATTTTCTAGAACCTTTTTGTCTTTAGTAAAGAAAGTACATGATTAAGTCTATTCAGATTACCAGAGGTCCAAGTTTTTATTCAAAGAAGTTTGTAAACAAGTAGGAGAGGATAATAGTAATTTTTAAAAATAAACTTCAAGTTGTTTTAAGGAAAACAATAAGACTTTATTAGTCAGGAAGAATAAAAACTTCTTGCAAATGTCTTTTTTGTATATGGTCAAAGAATCAGCAGAAAAATAATATTTTTTATAAGAATTTAGATTGTATATTATTATTTATTGTCAGATTAGTTATATATACTTTATTAAATATAATATAGGCTATACTATTTACAGTGTCACTAAAGCTAAAATGTTAACTAACTTACTTATCTTAGTTTATTTTCAAACTCTAAGTATAACTTTGGAAGTAATTTGTCACTCCATTTATAGTTTGGATAAATACTTTTCTATTATGAATATTATTACTTGCAGTTTATTACTGCAGATCACTAACCAAAGTTCTGATCAAGCCTAAAACCCAACCATTTTATGTCAGTTTTAATATCCATTATTATTATACTTGTTAAACTTTTTTCTAGATATTCTTCTTTTATTTTCTTTTTTTCATCTTTTAGACTTCTTATTTTTCTTGTTAAATAAGATTTTGTGGACCTTCTTATTTTATCTTTTCAAAAAATTTCTTAAGATTTTTTCCATTATTACTTGCTTATATTATTTGTTTCATACTTCTTTCCTAAAGTAATTCAAAATCTTCTTTTGACAATAAAGTATCTATTTTTTGACTACTGTTTTTATCTTTTTTTCTCCATATTCAAATTCTTCTACTTTTCTTAATAGATTTTTTTTAATCAGTTCTAAGAGAAAACTGACAGTTTTGACTATTTTTGGATACTCTCCTTATAAGTTTTATTAATCATACTTTTATTTCTTACATTTCTTTTCTATCTACTATTGAAATATTATTGTATTCTTTTTGAGCTTGTTCTTTTTAATTCTGTCTCTCTTTTTTAAATTCTTGATATATTATTTCTATTTCTCTTGATCAGGTTTTCTTTATTGTATTTTTATATCTTGAATATTTCAAAAGATGTTCTATTGTTTTCTCTTATTCTTCACATGCTAAACAGTTACCTTTGTAATCTAGATCTAGTCTTCTTATCACTAGTTTAATTATTGTCAGTAATTCATTGTTGATTAACTTTATCAAAAAACTTTTCTGCTATAAGCTTTTAAAGGTAATATTTTATATATATTCCTTTTTTAATCTTTCCCATATTATGTCTCATGTATAGTTCTGTTAATCTTTTATTTAAAGGCTCTGCTTATTCCTGGTTCAGTTTTGTTATAACCAGCAGTATGTTGTTATTTTATTATTTATTCTTTTTATAAATTACCTTATGAAACTATCCAGTATTACATTCTGTCATTTTACTTCTATAATGATCTTATCAGATTTAAGGTCCTTTCACTTAATTATTGGAATATTTGATACTTCTTTAGCTAACTTGTTTACTAGATTATTTTCCTTAATGCTAATGTGCACCTTAACTTTAATTAACTTCAATTTTATGTTTTTTGTTTTAACGATATTTAGTATCCTTATCCAGAGTAACCAGTTTTTTTTTTTAAGCTATCTTCTATAAGTCATGTTTTAATCGTCTTTTCCTAAATTGTTCCATTTAGATATACATATTTGACTATTAGTATAGATTTAAACTAAGCTTTTTACTGGCATTACCAATAGTATTGTAACTATTGCTATTAGTTCTGCTCTTGTGAATGATGGTTAATTTTGTATACTTGTCTGGAACCTACTCCTTTGACCTTTATTATTTGTTTGAATCTATGCTATCTCCATTCTGATTGTTTTTTACATAATCTATTAAGAATCTGTCCAAGTAAAATTTGAATATCTTTTATTCTTTAGGGCTTTTTTTTAGAATTTTTTTTATACAGTCTTAATAGATTATTTCTTGAATATATTTTTCAATAATTATTATTTCCTATTATTTGATTATTATCTATAATATTTGATTTTTAATTTCTTGAAATATTATAGTACACTGGATTTTATTTACTATTTTACTTTCAAGTATTTCTTTTTTTTATTAGAATCTTTAGTTCTTTGATTGTTTTTGTTAATTTGTATTTATTCAAGAAAATAATCTTATGAATTTTATCTCTTTTCTTATTTATAATACAAACACCATTTATAAGTATACCTTTTACATATCCTTTATACTGAAACAAAGTTGTTTTCTAGTTTTCTGCTTGTTTTTTACAGTTGAAATGTATTAGTTCCTTTTCAGATCTTGAAACTTTTTTCTAGATTAATTTTTTTAGATTTACAAACTATATATTTCTATATATATGCTGATTAATAATAACCTATCGTGATTTGTCCTAGTTAAACTAGCTACCACTCCTTGAGTGGACAGATCTAACTAGAGAATAAAATAGTTTTTTTATATTCTTCTTTCGATAGATATTTTAGAATTAAATTGTTGCCTTGTTTTTATTTGAAGGTTTTATTTCATTTTTAGCTCTGGAAAGTTATACCTAAATCCTTTGTAATTTTAACATATTTGTACTGAGAAGTTACCCTTGTCTATTATTTAATTTAGTCTTTTAAGTTGAGCAAGTTTTGAAGTTTTCAATGTTTTAGCTATACCTATTTAAGCCAAATAATTGTTGTGAGTTCTATTGAACCTTTATCATTCAACCTATTACAAAGACTTATAACTTAACTTTCTCTTTGTAGTATCTATATACTTTTAAGAATATAGATTTAGGGTAATGTACTATACTATTAGATATCAATTTGTATAATGCACTTTTGATCTTAAATAGTTTTCAAAATCTGATTGTTAAGTCATTGCATATTTTTAATGATAATATACTATGCTGCATTCAAAATTCTATTCTTGAAATTAGGATTTTATTTAAAATATGAAGGACTTGTTTATTTGTTACTTTTTTTTTTTCAGTATTCTAATTATCAAATTGATTTTCCTATGAATTTTTTCCTTTATTTTTATTGAAGTTTTTTGATTTCCTATTCATATATCTAGAAATCTAGTGTATTCATTTTTATCTAACTCTTTGACCTCTTTTTTATTTATCCTAGCTTTGACTTTTTCAGGATATTGGCTAAGTTTTAATAATAGTATTTGAAAAGATCAATAGTGATAACTATTGATAATAAATTTATAAATTAAAAAATTATTTTCAAAGTTGTACTTTAAAAAACAAAGTTTATAGATAGGTGAACTAACTGATAAAAGTTTTTTAATATATTATTACATAAATAAACAATTCATGTTACCTGATTGAAAAAAAAATTTTTTAATGCAAATCTTTTAGTTGCATGATTGCAAGCTCTTCCAGATAGTTTATCTGATTACAGAATATTTAATTACGTACACGATACTTTATTAAATTATATATTTTTTAAAAAGAAATATCACAAGTTGAATGAAAATTTTCTTTTATTTAAGACGAACAAAATCAACCACAAAAGTCATTGTTTTTAAATGTATTTTGATCAGTGATCAACGTGAAGAAATTTACAATCATCGCCCAAATTGCACCTTCCCGAGGAGTAATACCAACATTCAGATCCCCTTCCACTGGCAGGTCTTCCAATTCCACCTGCTGATGAGGGTGCAGCACTACGAATGCCTCTGCCCCTAACAGATGAGGGAGGAGGCCTAACGGGGCGCCCAACACCAGTGCCAATGCCAGAATCATTGTTATTAAATGGACGAGCTATCGAATCATTGCTAAAAGTTGCAGGTGGTTGAGAGGGAGGTCCTTGGGGTGGAATTAGTGGTGGTGGTGGCGGTTGTGATTGTGATGGTTGCTGTTGAGGTTGTGGTTGCGGCTGCTCTTGATGGCGTGGATTATATAAATAAGGATATTGGTAAGTTTGTTGTTGTTGATTCGGCGCGTTAGGTGCAGATGGGTATTGCTGAGGGAATGATTGCTGAGGTGGTAATACTGCTGATGTAATGTTTGTGGATGGTTGATTAATGACTGGCGGCTGTTGCTGGTGATAATTTATGATGGTGTTAGGCTGTTTCACGTCTAAATTCCACGGAATGGGTTGTTGAATCGGTGGCTGTTGAGGAGTGGGGAGAATCTGCGTAGGCATAGGCATTCTCCCCCCAATCAAATTTTGCACAATATTCTGATTATCCATTCCCGTGTTAGAAGAAAACGTCATATTATTTTGATTTTTTTGATTACCCAATTGCATATTCTGCCACTGAGCATACACGTGTTGTAATGTCCTTAATAATTCTTCAGAAATAGGAAGGCTATCTAAATCATTGTCAGAAGCATCATTAAATGCACGATCGTAATAGTCATCTTCATTAGGTTCCTCATATAGAAGAATTTCACGAGATTTAGTGCGGTCAGGTTTTACAGTTTCATCGGGCTCTGCAGGTGAAGGTGGCACTTGATCTGGTGTAATATAAATCGTTTCCAAAATTTGCCTTTCTCTTTCTTCTTGAATTCTAGCCTCTTCACTTTCTAATTTCGGTTTAATGAACTTGCATCTTTCTAAATTTATCATTGGAGGAGTGTACCACTGCATTGCAGGTGCTTTACGTACCCTTTTGAACGCCGTCAACCCCTCACTTCTATCTAAATCTCGAGCATTTCCAAACTGGTGTGGAGTATCGACTGTAGAAAACTCTCCTTCTATATAGTCCCTCTCTTCCATTTCGAATAATTTAACTTGTGTGAGCATGTTATCCGGAGCAAATGTCACTCTCTTCCTTTTTCTGGTAGTTGTTTTTACCTCCTTCTTATTTTCTTTTAAATTATCCTCAACTAATTCCATAACAGATTTCTGAATCCCAGTATCCAATGAAGTTATTTGTTGTGACGAAGAACTTGATTTTTCGTTAGCTTGGGTTGCTTGTACAGTTTGTTTATTCTTAACGGGAATTATAGTCTTCGAATCTTTTTGTGTAACCCTGTTAATTTGAGTTTGTCTCGCTGATTTTGACGCGTTAAGATTTCCAAGAATTTCATCGAAAAGACTAGTGTCAGGCCTTGCTTGCATTCGAGGATCAACCTTGGACTCTAAGGATGGTCTCACACGTCCAGCAGCTTCCCTTCCTTTGAGCGCTTTTGAAGATGCATTCTGAGAAGAATGAGAAGGCTGATTTGATGGCTTCGTGGATGTCGAGGGCTTTACGGTCGGTCTGGTACTGCTACTACCGGATGTTGCTGATGACTTGGAATTTTCTGCAGCAAGTTGACTCGCCTTTTCATCAGCTCGCCTTTTCTCTTCGATCCATTTATTTATTAGTAAAGATGCCAATTCTGCTACGCCTGGTATTTGGGAATCTTTAACTCTAGTATTATTAATTACTCTTCCGAGGCCGCTTGCAGATAAAGCCTCAGTGTCTATTGGAAGGTGATTAACAGTTTGAAGTAATTTGTGTAGTAAATCGCTTTCAGGAGACTTTGCTTCTTCTTTAACCCAATTTCTTAAAAGATAACAAGCTCTTTCATTTACTAATCCTTTTAGTGTTTCACTATCTTTTGTTTGATCAATAATATGAAGAATTGAGCCACGTGCGGATAAGGGTGCATCTTTAACTTTATGAAGGAAATCATGGACAACTTGTGAAGAAATTAATCCCAAATCAGGTTTTAAGTATGGCATTATGCTTTCGATCAATTGTCTAGATGATTCATCATCTGGTGTAGATTTATTCTTGTCTTCGCGTTTTTCGGATTTATTTTCATTATGGGCTGTTTGCTTGGAAGTCGTAGCAGAAGAGCCAGGCAGAGTGTAACTTGCAGAAGTTGATGGATTATAGTTTGATACAAGTGGTGAATTGTAACTTACTTGATTATCTCCAATATAAACGTAAACCTCATGATTTGGCATAGGAGGATTTACATGACCATTGTAAGGAAAAAATGGAGAGGTAATAGTCCCATTTGATGTTAAAAAACCACCTTGAAAAGACGACGACGAAGCATTCGAAGTTTGAGCTGCATTTACTGTATTGGTGCTATTGATCGTAGTAGCCGTCGGCAATTGTGACAATAAAACTGTTGCATTATTTGGGAGTTGAGTGTTTCCAGCAGCTACTTTTGCTAGAATAGCAGGATCTTTCTTTCTTCTTCGTTGAAACCACTCGTTAACTTGTATCTCTGTTGCTCCGATCAGCGTGGCGATTTGTTGTTTACTACCTTTATCGGGATATGGTGAATCTTTATATACCTTTTCTAAAACATCTTTATGTTGTGCAGTAAACTGAAACCTGGGTCTAGTTGGTTTTTGCTGGGTGACAGAAAATTGATTTCCATCGTCCATTTTATACGTTCTGAGAAAGATCACTTTTGGGGGCGTAGCGCCATATTTATAGAGCTTTTTTTTAACCATCCCAACATGTCCACATAATTGGTTGAAATTGAAGAGTACCCACGTGCAATGCACTTATATCAATGTAAATACCTTCCTTTATAAGTAAATTGTAATATTTTTTTTATGAAACAACAAAAGTGAAATAATTATTATTTCTGGTTTTTTTTTGAAAAATGAATTTTATAATAAAGTGAAATAAGACAATTATTTTATTTTATTTACAATTATACTATTAAGATATATTTTTTATTGAGATATAAAATAAATATTTGCAATATTACAGGAACTTTTTTTTTTTTAACCTCAATTATGCCACAATGGCATGTCTTTATTGAGATATTGAGAAATACCTAAATATTTTACAGACTTTCACAAAGCAACTAACTTGTCATTGTACATTATTAGTTAAAGAATTATACTACTTAAAAAATATGAGGAGTCTACTAAGCTAGTTCAAACTAAACAAAATTAAGTCCAAACTAGGTACTCTAAGTCAGATTTAGGAAACAATATTTCACTCTCCTAGTAGCTTGGCAATAGTGCCTCTAAGTCAACCAGGATCATTGCCAACAGTATGTCACTATTGATTATCCCAAAAAATGATGAATTGCTAAAATTGACATTGAAAAAAAGGGAAGGGGGAATGCAAATCAAAGTCTTCTAAAAGATTTTTGCTCCATTTTACAGTTTTCTCTCAAAAGGGGTTTGTCTGATTGTAATATTCTTTAAACTTCACGATATTTGAGAAACTTAGTCATTCCTGAAAGTGACTTCAAGAAGAATGTTTGAGGAACTTATCTTTTTGTTGATATACAGATTTACTTATCATTAGTGAAGCCAGTACCATATTATAGAAGAGTTTGCCTAACTGGAATAAAGAAATCTTTTCAAAACTGGAATAGAAGCTTGGAAACTTCAGCTTTTATTCAAGAAAGCCTTTTCACCACCTGAGAAACTTGATGAGAAATGGGAGTTGAATCTTCTTTTCATACTTATCGCTTATCTTTTAATATTATAATTGTTTCCTGGAGGTTAAATCTATATTATTTAAAGAGATACTTTTTCTAGAACTTTCTTTCCTATATCACCAATAATATATCGAGACATGTAAGTGTGATCAATAGAAGCTTGTTTACATTTCAAAAATTGATGTGTTTCATGTCAACCAATCACCTTTAGTGAGGATTTGTATTATCAAAAATTTAAAGTCAAACTGAGATAGGCAAAATTTCCTAGAAAACCATGAAAGTAATAGTTCTAAAAGGTCTACAAGTGACTAGAAGGGGAAAAATAAGCCCTTCTGTCATTAAAAACCTCTATATACCTTTCACTTCAAAGGTTAAATAGGCCTTCGGGTACTTCACAGTCAGTTCTTCTTCTTTTGGAAACTTTCTTGTTATTGGTATAAAAGGTGTTGCTTGATTTTTCTTGGTCACTAAGAGTCAAGTTTTTAAGTAAAAAGAGGTTTATAAAAAATAGGAAAAGGATAGAAGCGACTCTTGAAATCATACTTCAAGTTGTTTTAAGAAAAATATTAAGACTTTATTAATAAGAAAGTATAAAAACTTCTTACGAATATCTTTTTTATGTATGATCAGAGGATCAGCAGAAAGAGTTTTATCACAATATACAGAAACTTTTATATAATAATCAACTTATTTTTATACATTATTGGTTGAAAAACTATGCTATCTAAAAAATATAAGAAGTTTATTAACTAGTACTAATCAAAATTATGTAATTTGATAGTTGAATTATTACTAATTTTTTTTTTTTTATTACCCTTGGTCAGGCCAGTACTGTGTGTTTATTAATCATTAAGAAAACTGATTGAGATACATAGGGCAATTGCATTA